TTATTCTTTTAATGTTTAAATGCATGCTTTACAACTGATGGAATCCTGGTGTGGCACTGTAAGATAAGCACTGGACTGTTAAACCACAAGGTCAGCGGTTCTGACCCACCAACCGCTCCTCAGAAACCCTCTACAGGGTTACTAATTATCAGAACGGACTCGAGAGCTCTTAACAACACATGATGAAAGAAGATCAACAGAATTTAGAAGGGCACTGCTCAGACCTGTTGTTCATGGTTTACAGAACTAACTTGTCCCCCAGGTCCGAGAGTTGCTTTCGTTTTTCCTAATGGGCCACAATATGGATTGCCTACTGGAATATGACAATATTAGGCCTGTGACTTCCAGGAGAGAAGGAACATCATTATGAGAAATGGTTTCCATTGCATTTGGATAGTTGTTGCTGCAAAGTGCCTTCGACTTGATGGCGCTCAACAAAACCAACTGTGTTTTACATAATCTGCTTTTACACACACACACCTGTATGTATATGTATATAAATTTGTTGTTGTTGCTCCATCGAGTCATTTCTGACTCATAGCAATCCTATATAGGATTTCCAAGGAAAACTTGGCTGGTGAGCTTGAATCACCGATCTATCAATCCAGTGCATTAACCCACAGCGCCACACCAGGACTCCATTTGGATAGTAAAGGTGATAAATATCACTTACTGACTGTAGCAAGGTTTTCCAGTTACTGTGCCAATGTTTCCACTGATTCAAGGTTAGGAAACACTTGCCAAGTCTAAAGTAAACCCATATTGTTGTTGTTGTTAAATGCCGTCGAGTCAGTTCCAACTCATAGCAACCCTGTGCAGGGTTTCCGAGGAGCAGCTGTTGAGTTTGAACTGCTGATGTCGCAGTTAGCAGTGCAGTGAATAGAGCTGTACTATTCGTAGTGCTGTTCTCGATGATATAAAGGGTTTGCACCACCCCACTGCCTTCATTGAGATAGCCTTGTTGCAAAGCAAATGTCAGCTAAATTAAATAATGTGTTTAGTAATATTGTCCATTTACATTCTGACACGAGCTCTTTGTCCCATCAAAAACTGGTAACAATCGGTTTCTAAACCAGTGGTCACCCAAATATTGACTACATTGTTAGTAACATTACAGTACCACAGGGATTATTGTTCAGTGGTTCATACGTATTATCAAAACCACTGTGCTCCCAGGCAGCAAGGCCACTAAGAAAAATACAAATGGCCCATCCTATTACTCTTTCTCTTGCTGCCCATCTGTCTGTGCCAGGGAACATCTTTCCTGTGCCTCTTCTTCCCTGTACCTTTAGCCCACAAAGAGCATTTTAATGGTATTTTCATCAGGCCCATAGGTCCCCATAACCCATTGCAGCACCAGTAAAAGCCCCACCCAAAGAACCCCTTCTCCCTCGAGAAGAGGTGATAACTGTCTTTGTTGTCTCTGGTTTCAGCTGAGTGACTGCTACCGAGGGGTGGTGTTCGATAGCCTTGAGACACTCTTTGCTCGAAATGGGACTTCAGCTCTCCTCTGCCTGCTGAAAGCCATCGGCAACAGGGAGCACATCTACGTCATCAACATGGCCCAGGATTACACAGCCATGAAAGCCCGGGAGAAAGCTAAAAAGGAGCAAGAAGGCAAGACCCCAGACCTTCCTTGGCTGTCCTCCCAAGCCCTAACTGGTCTTCCCTTTGAACAGAGCTTTCAACTTTGAAAATGCCTCAATGTGGTAATCCACTGGTCTTAGATGAAACTTTCACAGTCACTGTGTCCTTGGTGCCCACCACCACCCTGTGTGTCGGACAGGCCTCATGTTTCTCCATGGCATGTGAGGAACCTGAGAGCTAAGTAGGCTGTTGAAATGTTACATCGTGAAGGAATGAACCCCACTCTTCTAAAAGCAAAGGCATGCCTCTTTCCCCTGAAGTCACACTGCACCCCATTACGTCGTCTGTAATTATCAGCCCTAGTAGAACATATCACAAGGCCCATCCTGACTCAGGTGCTCGATGTTCTTGTGGCCTTTGTCTAAACCACAAATATGTCTCCTCCAGGGCTTTCAACCAGTTCAAACCAGTTCAGTCATGACCAGTGCCATGAAATTAGAACAGATCCACATTTGTAAAATGTGCATGGACCGGAACAGGAAAAAAAAATATGGGTCAGAACTTTGGGATGGGAGAGTTGGGAGAGAGATAGTGAGTTCTTTCAGGAGCTGATCCGAGAGACTAGATTGTTGTCAGGACTGTGGAGAGCGACACACAATCAAAGCCCATCTCTAAGCTGGGCACCACTGTTTCTGACTGCCGGACAAGAGATTCTGTTGCTATGCAACATACACACTGCTTTATTTCTTAAGAGGGAGACTAAGTTCTAGCAGGGTATCTATCCGTAATTTCTCCCAGTCTAGTTATCATTCCAGGACACCCACATTTAAAAAAAAAATTCAGATCCACTCCAGTTTCATTTGATCAGCCATGATTGAACCATTTTAAAACCCTAATTTCTTATAAAACTAGAGTCACTGATCACATGTTCAGAAACAACTTGTACGTCTTAAAAGAGTCTGCTGTGCGCCAGGCAGTGTCCCTTCAGTTTGTACACTTTGAGTCGTTAAGTCTTCACAGTAACCTGTTGAAGATCATTGTCCCCATTTTACAGATAAAGAAGGTAAGTCTTAAAGGTATCACAGAAAATCAGCAGGGGAGCCTGGTCTGTGTAACTCAGAAAGCCTGTGCTTTCTCTCTCATTATACCAGTGGCTTGGAAAGCCATTTCAGGATTGGAAAACACATATACACAGTAATGTTGGTTTAAGTTTCCAATGCAGTTAGAAATCAACTCAGCAAATCTTACCCCTCAGGAGAATGGGGTTCGACTGCTGGTAACACTGTCCCTGAGAGGCAGGGTCCAGCTCTGAGAAGTCTCCCCACCACCACCTTTCCTCACTTGGGCTTCCCTCTCTCTCCTGGCACAATCTACACAAGCCCGGATGTTTTCTCACAATGCCCAGGTATCCTCCAGCTTCCTATCTTTCCAGAAAGTCTTTCCCATAATAATCAACTTGAAAGAAATGATCACTTTTCATGTTCTCAATCATCATTGAATGAGCTTCTCACTTTTGAATCATGGGGTCCTGTTCCCTAAATGATCGACATTTGAGGAAGTCCTAAGCCAGTGTACAGCAGCACCATTTAATACTGAAATTGCATGTCTGTTGAACTTTTTTGAATGTTCCAGTCATTGTGCTAAATGCTTTCTACTATCATTTATTTAATCCTCACAACAGCCTTAGGAGGGAGGGATTTCTAGTCTTGCCTGTTATTATCTATTAGAAAGTGACAGAGAAAGAGCTGAAATGTAGGACCCTGGGAGCAAACCTCACACCTACTATGATGACGTAAGGTAAGATTGTTGTGCTGGTGATGTGTAAACCGAGTGTGAAGCCTGTCTGCCTGGGCCTGGAATCCACAAAGCTCGGAGGGGATTCTCCCTGTTAGGAGCACTTCAGTGATGTGTGCTCATCATGAGTGAAGTAGGTAGGTGGGGTGTTAGTTTCCTATCACTACTATAACAAATTGCTACAAACTTGATAACTTAAAACAACACAAGTTCTGGAGGTTAGAGGTACTAAAATCAAGTTGTCAGTAGGGCTGTGTTCCTGCCAGAGGTTCTAAGGGGGGGATCTGTTCCCTTTTTTTTCCACCTTCTACAGGTCACCTGGTGTGGCACTATAGGATAAGCTCTGGACTGTAAGCAGCAAGGATATTGGTTCACACCCACCTGCCGCTGCTTGGAAACCCTATACAGGGTTGCTATGAGTCAGAACTGACTCAACAGCGCTTAACAATAACAACAAGCCACCCATGTTCCTTGGCTTGTGGCCAAGTAAGGTGACAGAAAGGTTCTAGAGATTGGGACATGATGTCATTGAGGTCTCTTATTCTGTGTAACACAGGTATGATCAGAATTTGGAACTGCATAAATGAAGGAATCTGAGATGCCCGCTGACCATTGGGATCACAGGTCCTCAGCCTCCATGGCTAGAGGAAGCATTAAGTCAGTGGGGAAGTGGTACCTTCTCACCTTCTTGTTTCTGTCCCCCCACCAGACCTCAAACACAGGGAGATGCTTCTGAAAGAGAAGGAGAGGCTTCAGAACATGGATGAGGAGGAGTATGACGCCCTGACGGAGGAGGAGAAAATCGCGTTCGATAGAGAGGTTCAGCGAGCTCTCCGAGAAAGGAAGAAGAGGTCTGAACCCCGGGGGACCCATGTGGGGCAGTATACCCCTTCCAAGGCCTGGGCATTTTCAGCTCCAGGCCCTATAGCAGGAGGGCTTTGTGAGCTGCAGGAGATCGAGAAAACATCCAACCCAGTCACCTTCTCAGGGTGTCCCACAGCCCCCACCTTCTCACCTTCTCAGGGTGTCCCACAGCCCCCACCTCCTCACCTTCTCCAGGTGTCCCACAGCCCCCACCTTCTCAGGGTGTCCCACACAGCCCCCCTCCTCACCTTCTCAGGGTGTCCCACAGCCCCCACCTCCTCACCTTCTCAGGGTGTCCCACGCACCCCCCCTTACCTTCTCAGAGTGTCCCACACACCCCCTTACCTTCTCAGAGTGTCCTACACACCCCTACCTTCTCCGGGTGTCCCACAGCCCCCCTCCTCTGCTGCTCTGTGTATTTCTCCTTTTCCTCATTGTCTCCAGGGGAAGCTCGTGGAACATTGATGGTGGCCGTCCCCTGGGCTGTCTTTGGCCCACTGGCTGCACTGCAAGTGTGGCTGAGCAGCTTTTGTCCTCACTACCTTACTGCCTCCTGTGTACCCTCGACATGGGCATACAACTGCTCACCAAAATTCAGATGCCTCACCCCTTCCCCAGCCCCATCTGGGCCTTTGGCAGTGCTTCCAGTCCCCTGGGGCCTAGCGGCCTGAGCAGTTCACGGTAGAGCCTAGGCAGGCTCACTGCTTGCTCCGTCCCTCACTGGACCCTCTTGGGGCGTGATCCCAGCCTATGTCAAAATATACTTGGGGTGGGAAACACTGTATTTTCTCTCCCAGGTGTTTGTTTTAAGGTGATAGTGTCACATGGGGTTGGAAAACATGAATTTGAACTTCAGAGCCAAGCAATGACTTGTGTCCCCTCCCCCGAAGTAATGGTGTGGGCAGTGGGCTTCAGGGGATGGACATGTGTTCAGAAATGCTGTCCCCGCCCCGCTCGTCTGTAGTGCACAGCTGGCCGTGGTGCCTGCTCTGCCATTTTCAGCAGGGGCAGACCCAGCTGGACCTACTGCAGGAAGGGAGGAGTGGGCTGGACCAGACAGCACTGTGGCTCCAAGCTGGCCACAGCAGGGACTGCTGCTGAGATCACAGTGTCCCATCATCAACACGTAAAGAGTAACAGGCTGGCTTCTTCAGTACTGATTCCAGAAAAATCTTTGAAAGCTGCTTTTAAAAGTTACTGGCATCAAGCTTATGCCCGGCCTTGCCTCTCTCTCCCTCAATATGACAACACACTTCCTGTTTCCTCTCTGGGTGCCCTGCTTTGTCATTCTCCTTCCCTGTCACTTCCAGCCTTCTGAACTTTGTTTTTGGGCAGATGCTCTCTTTTTGGTTTCATTTGTTGATTGTTCTTAAGAATACATTCCTTAGGAGTGTTACTGTTCACTTTAAAGGTGTTTTTATCTATCTTACCTATCCATCTTTCTTTTATCTATGTATCTATCTCTTTGCCTCTTTCTTGCCTTTTATACACAGCTCTGCCCAGAATCCCTCAACCTGACAAGCCAGGGCTGGGAAGGGTCTCAGGCAGGAGGGTCTCTGAACTCCTATTTTCTTTCCTGGTTTGATGAAGGGAGCTGGAGAGACTGGTGAGAGAGATGCAAGAAAAGAAGCTGCAGCAGGAGCTAGAGCGGCAGCGAGAAGAAGATGAGCTGAAACGGAGGATTAAAAAACCCAAACAGGGCCCCATAAAGGAAGAGGCCCCACTGAAGAAATCTCAGGCCGCAAGCCGGCAGGTAGCAGCCCTCACTTTATCCTGACCCCACCCAGGAGACAGAAGCAGGGCAACCAGCTGGTCAGTCCAGCCTGTTTCCCCTCCAGAAACCTGACCTAGTGATGTGTGGGTCTTGAGGACGAGCTGAAGATAGGAGGAAAGGAACCGACACATGCTGAACACTCACTGTAGGCTAGCGTTGTACTGTTCCTGAGTATTTAAGTCATTTCTCCATCCCAGCCACCCTACGAGGTAGGCATGCTCTTACTCATCTGAGGTTCAGAGAGATGACATCACAGTTCCAAGACCTCACCTGGTCATGTCTGAGGAGAGTCCTGCCCTGTCTTGTGCACCATGCTGCAACCCTGTTGTTTGCTGTTAAGTGCCATTGAGTCGGTTCCAATTCATAGAGGCCCTCTATAGGTTGCTAAGGAGCAGTTGGTGGGTTTGAACTGCCAAACTTGTGGTGAGCAATCCAGTTTCACAGGTTATATACATGGTGGGTATTGGTGGGGACAAACTGGAGTTTATAATTAGGCTGTGTTCTAGGCATTTATATGTAGGTATTTATTTAACTAGTTGGACACAGAGGGATGCATGGAGAAATTCTTCTTTTTCCCATTATCCCTTGGAACTCGCTTTGTGGATCCTGAATTACCCAGCCCTGGATGAAATCTCCAGTTGCCAGAGCTTTGGGGGTCGTTCTTTGATGATACGAAGTCCAATTCATTCTATTGATCACATATCACCAGGACAGCCCAGAGGCGTATTCACTCAAACTCAATTCCTGTGACAGCTGCTTGCCTCCTGACATTCAGACCAGCTTCAGAATTGGTGGCCTGAATGACAGGGATGACACAAGGTTGGCTTGTCCCTTACCCTACTCCTTCTCCTATTCCACCTTATGTTCTCTATCATAGCGTGGAGAGGCTTATGCACTAGACTACAAAGTTGGTATGAATCACAAGATTTGCGGTTCAAACTCACCAGTCACTTCTCAGAAACCCTCTACAGAGTTGCTATGGGTCGGAATTGACTCAACAGCACTTAACAACAACAACCCCTGTTATTCAGGTGAGGCCGAGAGAGGGTAAGTCCTCACCCAGGTCAGTACAGCTGTGGTTGGACCAGTGTACTCTATGGCCAATTCCAAGGCACCTGAAAGCACGTGCCAAAGTGATCGTGTTTGTGGTCATTTCCTGTTGACCCTTCAGCATGGGGCTCTTGGCCAGGAGTGCACATCAGCCTCATCTGTGCTGTTTGAAAATGCAGTATCAGGCCTCATCCATCTCTATAACAGAAGGGCCACGAAATGGGTGTTTTAATCAAGGCTTCCAGGACAATTCTTAGGTGCAAGCCTAGTAAGCGTAAGAAGTGAAACAGAATACTCTCATGCCTACTCCCTAGCTGGTGTCTTCTCCCTTAAAGAACTGTGTTTATGTGTTTTGCTTCCTAGGTTCCAACTTTTTCCAAACTGGAGGTGAAGTTGGAGGCACTAGAAAGGAAAGTATCTGTTAGGGAGCAAGGAATGTCTGAGAAGGACGAACTAAACAAGAAGAGAAAGAATCAAATGACAGATCTCAATTTCTTGGGGTGTTCTCTCATCCAGGAAGAGGAAAGCGAAACGGACCTCCTCCTGAAGGACTTGGACAAGAACTTGGTCCAGAAGTTCAAGAACTACGAGCTGATTTTAAAGGATATCCAAAGCATCCTCATGTGCTGGGACCGGAAGCAAGGCATCCAGCTGCCTCACACTGGGACTGAAGAGGTGCCCCATGAGCAAGATGACCAGCGCCAGGTCCCGTCTGGTGGGCGCCGAGGCCGCAAGGACCGGGAGAGGGAGCGCCTGGAGAAGGAGCGAGCAGAGAAAGAGCGCCTGGAGCGGGAGAAGGCCGAGAGGGAGCGGCTGGAGAAGCTGAGGGCAATGGAGGAGCGCAGTGATGGAGAGGGAGACTGGGACGAGGACCATGAGGGGAAGAAGGACTTAGGCGTGCCCTTCATAAGCATCCAGACTCCAGATTTCGAAGGCTTAAATTGGAAGCAGGCCCTGGAGAACGACAGGCTTCCCAAAGGAGAGCAGGTATAGGCTTTTTCTCCAGGTGTCCAGGTAACAAATCAAGGGGCAGGTGCTATGTTTATCATCATAACCTTTCTACCTAAGTAAGATCCACTTCCCTCGAATTCCCTTCACCTTTCAATGCCCCCTTAGATATAGGGCAGCAATAGCTAAAGGAACCTCTTTCTACCTGACAGAAAGACAAAGAAAGTTCCACAGACCTAATTTATTCCCTCTAATCACATATGCATGTGATTTTTAATATCAGCAATACTAGGATGTAACTGGGGATTGGCAAGGCGGTATGCTTTGTGATGAAGCAAGAGACTCGTTCACTCTAAAACTTTTTTCCAATGAGCCTCCCACAATGACAGAAATTAGACTGCTCCATAACTTGTTCGTATAAACAGAAGTGTTACAGATCCAAAAATCACCTTTGGCAGTAATAGGTACGCAAATGGGCATGGCTACATTTCAAAAAAACTTTATTTATAAAAGCAGGCCCGATCTGGCCCCTAGGCCACCGTTTGCTGAAGCCCTGCTTTCTTTCATTTATCAGAAACTAGGTACCGCATTATAAAGCAGGACATAGAGCCTGAGCGGCTGGGCTACATGGCAGATAGAGGTTGGTATCTTGATGTGGCTCCACAACAGTTTGCCATAGTGCTTCCATGTCAGGACCAAAGAGGGCAAAGTAATCGGAGGGCACAATACCAGGTCTACTCATTTCATGATTTTGTCTCAGAACAGAGCAGCCTTAGAAGCAATTGTTGTGGTCATTATTTTTTGCTGAAATGTGGTTTTTGAAAAAGTATTGCAGCCAAGAACATCTTCTTCTTTTGTTTCATACTCTTAGTCTCATAGCCAAGGGCATCTTCTTACCTTGCTTTATGCTCTCCATATTCCAAGCATAGGCTGGCTCCATTGCTTGACGAGCTCCCTGGCTCTGATAATTCAGTAACTGGTACAGATGATTCATCCCCTTCCTCAGTGACAATCTTGGGATGTAACTGTAGCCACAAGTTAGTCAAGTAATCTGTTCCCTGGCCAGACCCACAGAATGGATCTTACTTCAGAAACATGGGACTATAGGAAGATAGTTAACCTGTACAGTCTAAAAAGCCACTTGCTCCAGAGAATAAGCTCTCTGGTGGGCAATCCCATTTACTGCGGTGATGACAGCAGTTAAATCAAGGTCTGTGTATGCTGGGAGGAAGTACTTACTAGATTCTCAGGCCACATGCTTTGGGGAAGGCCCATTCATTGTGTATAGGAACAGGATGAGATAATGTTGTAGGGATAAACCTTCTCTCTGTTAAGATTCTTGTTGACATCTCTCATTTTATCCACTTCCTGCCCCATCCCAGAACTCTTACTTTTTTCTTTACTGTTTTTATCTGCTCCAATCTTAATTTTCTTTCACCTTAGGAATAAAAGCACATTTAAAGAAAACTGAACATGGAAACTGAAAATAGATGGAATTAACTATACGTAGTAGAATCTTAGGAACTGGTCTCTAAATTCAGTGGAGATTTGTTGAGTGCCTGCTATACACTAGGTCATGTGTTTCTATCCTAATGAGATTTATAGTCTGTTTGCAAAGACAGGCAATTAAACAGACGCAGTTAAGTATCCTAAGAGAGACATGGGTAACCCAAAGCCCTTAGCAGGAATGTCCAGCCCTGCCTGGGGGCTAAAGTCTGGTAAGACCCTGAGAGCTATATCAAGGTCCCTAAGATCAAGCTATATCAAGGTCTGTGCAGTGGTGTCTCCCAAGAATGCTGAAGGAAAGTCTTAGGGAGGCCTGAAATACCACCCAGTGCTCACACTGGGGCTGCTGGGGTTACCCTGCGCTCCACACAAAGAATTAACACGATGACCTTTTCCTTTAGATCCTAGACATCCTTGGCCTGGGTTCCTCTGGACCACCCATCCCGCCTCCGACCTTGTTCTCAATAATCCCCTACCCTATGAAGCGTCTGTCTTTGGCCCCAACGGACATCCTGAAGCATTTCGTGTTTGTGACCCCACAATCAGAGGATCTTTCCATGATGGAGGATAAAAAAGAACTGGAGGCAGAAGGCGAGCTCCTGACCCTCTCGGTCACCTCAAAGGTAAAGCGCCAGCGGCTTCTTCTCCTGCCTGGCAGGCCTTCGGTGGGCAGGGAGGGAAGGCCACCTCCGTGAGGCCATAAATAGCCTAATGGAGGGCAAGAACCATGCTCACAGAAGCTCTGGTGGTGCTGTAGGTTAGGCATTGGGTTGCTGACTACAAGGCCTGCAGTTCAAACCCACCAGCCCCCTCCACGGGATAAAGAGAAAGCTGTCTGCGCCCTTAAAGATTTGTGGTCTCAGAAACCCTGTGTAGGGTTGCTATGAGTGGGAATTGACTTACTGGCAGTTGGTTTGGGGTTATCGTGCTCCCAGGAGCTCTAGTGCTGCAAGTGTTTAAGCACTTCTCTGCTAATCAAAAGGTCAGTGGTTCAAACCCACCAGCCACTCTGTTAGAGACAGATGTGGTGGTTGTGCTCCTGTATAAAGATTTCTAGCTTTATAAGAAGCCCTATGGCACTGTGGGACACTTCTCTTTCCTCCAGGGTCACTGTGAGTCAGAATCGACTCCATGGTACTGGGTTTTGTTGTTTGGTTTTATCAAGTTCCCAGAGGTGGGTTTTCCCCAGAACTCCCCTGGCCTTGGAGATCTTCCCTGAGGATCTTGCAGAAACTTCCAGAGATGGACTTAAAATGACTGGCTGTCCCTTCTCAACTTTTCTGATCCTCATGGGGTAGTTTAAGGAATCTTATAAAATTCCTTTGAAGTCCATCTGCAAGAAAAAATATGAAAAGCTAGCTCTTTGGAAGAGATACTAAAATATGTACTGAAACTATGGTCATTCAGGCAGTGTGGCAGAATCAATAAATAAGAGTTAAGGGAACACATTCCACTCAAGAAAATATAGATTAAAGATAAGACTGGACATTTTTACTCACGTCACTTTTTACCTCATTGTCTTACATAATCCCATAAAACAGATTACAGCTGAATTAAAATATTTTAAAAACAAAATGGTATTGTATAGAACAGAAGAAATTATAGATTAAAGTAGTAGAATAAGTTACAAAGGAAAAATAGATATGATTATAATATGTAGAAAGTGTGTACATTAAAAATTATATTGTTGCTATGAAGTGCCGTTGAGTCGATTCTGACCCATAGTGACCCTGTATAGGGTTTCCAAGGAGCAGCTGGTGAACTTGAACCACTGACTTTGCAATTCAAATGACTTTGCAGTCTGACTCATTAGCCCACAGCACCATACCCCATAAGATAATGATGGCCAAAATTTGGATTTTTCTGTTACAAACCATGCGCATCAGCAAAGAGAGCAAATACAACCACCTATAGGTCCTTCCTGTACTGAAATTAGGTGGCACAGGACTTTAGAGACCTCAATTTACAACAAAGTAGAAAAATCAACATCTGAGGTTAGCAACAGATACACCAGAGCAGAGTCCATGAAATTCCAAATAAAAAAGATACAGAAGATCCATGACCACCATAGGAGCTGACTGTGTGGCCACTAAAAGGAAGGCAATTCTTTACCTCATTTTGGGAGGAATTCTAGTTCATTCTCAGTTGACACTGTGGCATTGTAGGATAAGCACTGGACTGGTAACCACAAGGTTGATAGTTCAAACCCACCAGCTGCTCTCAGAAAACCCTATACAACATTGCTATGAATTGGAACCGACCAGCCGGCACACAACTTCTAGTTCATCCTCAGTTGACACTAGTCCATCAAAAGCAAGTCTAGAAGAGTAGCAAATAAAATTAAAGAATGATAGAATTATAAAAGCACCATTATGTTACTTCCTCAGTGAGACAGTTGATTAGGGGCCAGCAGTGAATATCAAAAGCAGTAAGTGAAAAGATGTGAACAAGACATCCACACAGAGCCAGAACTCCAACACATTCTAGAGTTGCTAACTACAAAGGGAAAAGCATAGCGTGCCATAAAGTGGCCTAAAGGACACCACTTGACCATGGGGACACACTTCGCATCTGTAATAGTGGGTAACTCTTGGATTAAAGTACTATCATGTCCGCAACGTACCTTCAATGGTTTAGAAGAAAAAAATGAAAGATAAAACAGATAGGATGCCCATTAACAACTGCTAAAACTACATGTTCATTAGTTTTCCAAAATAAAAAGTTAGAAAATGATCAATAAATTAAAAGGTAAAAAAATAATAAGAAAAAAATTAATCAGAAAACTTTCATAAGTGGAAACTAGTTATTAATCATGGCAGGTGAAAATAAAAAGTTATAAGACCTACAATCAAAGAGTAGAAAAGAGGAGATGGTAGCAGAAGAAGTCAGCAAAATATGGGAAAGTGAAAAAGCAGTAGGCAAGGGCCTAGCAATTCTGAGAAAGCTTGAAGCCTATCGGGCTATGGTGGAGCTTCAGGCTTTCTCATGGGTTTCATCCTCATCCTCAGGGAATGGGAGGTAGGGACCATGGCAGATTTGTCACCTGCATGTGAGGCATCCCAGGCCCACACTGTAGATGTGGTAAGCATCCAGATCTCCTCCCCATGCATATTTATGATTGCCTGCTCATTTTCACCTAAAGGTTCAAGAGGAGCAGAATGCCCCATCTAAGGGGAGCAAACAGAAACCAAAGGAAAAAGCAGAGCCATCCCGCGAGTCTCAGAAGGACAAACGTCGCGTGGCCAGTAACAGGAAGGGCCTTTCTGGGGGAACACCTGGGACCCTGGCACCCCTGTCGGACATAGACCAGAACAACTTCACAGGGCAGCACTCCCAGGAAAAATTCATCAGGTGGGCCTCCAAGAAGCCAGGGAGGGAGATGCTAGGGTCCCAGAGCTGACGTGGTGGCTGTCACTACCCCAGGTAGGAAGAGGCTGTCCTGTCTGTGGGGTCCTATGGATTACCCATCCCAAGCAGGACTGGGTTTCTCCCAGGCAACTCTTAGAGCCTCTCACACCTAGAAGGAAGTAGTCTCATTTTAAAGGCCTCCATGTTTCTTCACAGGCTGAATCATTTCCGGTGGATTGTACCGGCCAACGGTGAGGTGGCTCTACGGGTGCACTTCTCCTCTAACGATCTCGGGAACTTTGACCAGACTTTTAACTTTGAGATCCTTGGAACTGGCCGCCAGTACCAGCTCTACTGCCGAGGTGTCTGCACTTACCCATATATTTGCCAAAACCCAAAGTAAGTACATTTCACTTGGAAAGAAAAGATTGACAGGTACATTTTCATTTCCCCCATGGTACTTTGCCTGGGCTGACTCTTACTAATAATGTGGAGTCCTGGTGTGGCACTGTAGGAAAAGCACTGGACTGGCCGTTCAAACCCACCAGCTGCTCCTCAGAAACCCTATACAGGGTCTCTGTGAGTTGGAACCAGCTTGATGGCACTTAACAACTATAAAAATTGGGGACTGGAACAACATCCCAGATGGTCTTGTGCGAGATTTCAGTGCTTTAGACGTTGGCTAAGAGCGCCAGGAGCCCAACATTACCAGATTTCAGATCAAGAGAAAGAATGTTAATAGGTGTATTTGTTTCCAAGAGCTGTGGTAACACTGTGTCACAAATAGTGATATCCCTAGCTTCACATCCTCTTCTGAATCCAGCTTGAATTTCTGGCAGTCCCTTGTTGATGTACTGTTGCAACCATTTTTTAATTTTCTTCAGCAAAATGTTGGTCTTTTCTTTCTTTCCTGTCTCTTTAATGGCCTTTGGCTTTCTTCCTGTTTGGTGGTGTTGGTGTCATCCCACAACACTCTGGTCTTCGGTCATTAGTGTCTAGAATCAAATCTGTTCTTCAGATAGTCTCTAAATTCAGGTGGAACGTGTTCAATGGTATATTATGGCTCTTGTGGACTTGTTTTCATTTTCTTCAGCTTCAGCCTGAATTTGCATGTGAGCACTTGGTCTGTTCCCAGTCAGCCCTTGGCCTTGTTTTGGATAATATGGAGCTTTTCTAGATGTAATTAATCCATTTGATTCCTGTGTCTTTATTCCATCTGGTGAGGTCCAGCTGCTAATCACCTTTTTGTTTTTTTAAACACCTTTATTGTGAATTGAGTGATCATTTACACGGGAGAACGTTGGTTTTGCACTCAACCTATCATATTTTGTTTCATTGCAATGATTACAGTCCCCTCCATGCATCATCGGTTAACAGTATTTGCTTCTATTCCCTCTCTTTTTATGTTGTTGGTGTTTTTTTTTTAAGTACAGAAACACACACAGGAATATATAATCATTTAAACAACTAAAGGGCACATTTTGCAAGCCTGCCTCCTGGCTGCCAGCACACAGCCTTTCTCTTTCCACAAGGCTAATCCCCTCTTAAGGAGCTCTGGTAGTGTTGTTGTTAAGTGCCATCGAGTCAATTCAGACGCATAGCGACCCTGTATAGGGTTTCCAAGGAGCAGCTGGTGAGCTTGAACTGCCAACCTTGCAGTTCAAATGGCTTTGCAGTCTGGCGCATTAACCCACAGCGCCACTGTAGTGGTTATGAATTGGTCTGCTAACCTCAGGGTCAGCACTTCAAAACTGCCAGCTGTTCCACAGAAGAAAAATGAGGCTTTCTGCTCCCATAAAGATTTACAGCCTTGGAAACCCTGTACAGGGTCACTGTGAGTCAGAACTGACTCCACAGCATGTAACCACCACCAGTCAACTTTTGTGTTGTTTTAAAAAGGTATTTGCAATGAATAAGTCATCAGTCTTACAAAATTCTATCATGCAGTCTCCAGCATCATTTCCATCACCAAGGAAGGCCATATTTTCCAACTATAAATCCTTTTTCTTTGCTTCCAAACTTTAAATGCCAATCACCAGTAATTATCAATGCATCTTAATTGCATGTTTGATTAATTTCAGACTGAAGGAGTTGGTAGAATTCTCCAATTTTATCATTACTAACTTTAGTGGTCGGTGCATAAATTTGTATAGTAGTGGAATTATGTAGTCTTCCTTATAAGCATATGGATATTACCCTCTCATTACTTCTAGAGCTTGACATGTTTTTTGATGAAGAATGAATGCAACACCATTCCTCTTCAATCTGTCATTCCCAGCATAGAAAACCATATGATTTTCAGATTCAAAATGACCAATACCAGTCCATTTCAGCTCATCAATGCCTAGGATTTGGATCTTTATGTGATCATTTCATTTTTTACAACTTCCAATTTTCCTAGGTTCATACTTTGTACATTCTAGGTTCCAGTTACTAATGGGTGTTTACAGTTGTTTCTCCTCATTTTGAGTTGTACAACGTCAACAAATGAAGGTCCCAATAGCTTTACTCCATTCCCGTCACTATGGGCAACTCTTCTTTGAAGAGGCACCTCTTCCTCAGTCATATTTTAAATGCCTTCATACCTAAGGGGGCTCATCTTCTACCACTACATCTGATAATGTTCTGTTGCTATTCATAATTTTTTCATGTTCTGAGACTGTATCTGACACTGTTCCACTGCTAATCATAAGGTTTGCAGTGACTAACCATTCAGAAGTAATCTGCCTCTCCTTCTTCCTAGTCTGTCTTAGTCTGGAAGCTCTGATGAACCCTGTGCACTGTGGGTAATCTTTCTGATATTTCAAATACCAGTGTCACAGTAACATTCCAACCAACATAGTACAACAAACTGACGGATGAGTTATGGAACATATCCTTCGGGGGACACAATTCAATCCAAGACAGTAGGCGTGAAGGAAGGGGGGAAAGCCTTCCTCTGACTAGGTTATTGACTAGTAAGCCAATTTGAACAAGGTTTCTTATTTACTCTAAGACTTTATACACCGGAATATGCGCACATGGGTAGACTTTTCTCAGAGCTACCCCGTGCCACTGTGCAGCTCACACACTCACAAAGACATCTGGCTGAGTGAGCTTGTAGGGCTGACCCTGTCCGGAGAAGGGGCCTTCGTGACTCGTTTAGAAGCATTGTTGCAGTTGTCAACAAGGAACCACATTGACTATGAAACTCAAAGTCTAATGAACATCTTACCAGAACTCATTCTCCATCCGGATTTTTCTAACTGTGAGTGCTAGAACAGGAAGTCTAGCTCAGTTCTGTCACCAACCCTTTGTTAAGGAATACACCTGAGAATATTTTTTTCTGAAATTCAAACTGTACTGAGGTTACTCAGTGGGGCAACTTCCCAACCATATTCTCAAATTAGGAGTTGAGACTCCTGGCCCCTTTGCTCCAGTGGAAGTGTTGGGTTCAGGTAAACATCAAGTGGTAGCATCGAACTTTCCTTAGACAGCTGCTTCCTACCCCTTCTGCCCTGTGTTTAGAGTGGTGTTCCCTCAGAGGAAGAAGGACCCAAAGACACAGGAGGTCACCTTTAAGAAGTATATTACGAGCATGGAGATGTTTAACTTCGGGCCACTCCTTTGCGGAAAATCAAGAGATAAGTAAGTGCTCTATTTTCTCAAAAAAGATTTAAGACTCCCAGGTTGGGCTCCCGGATAATGCAGATGAGCTTCCTCCTAGACTTAGTTTTTAGTCATGCTGACTCAGGTAGACCTGAAACACCAATTAGGATAGCTCAGTTCCGGTTCCCTCTCAGGCACTCACAACTGTGTAGCTCTTGGCAACAACAGTTCCTTTCACTGAGCCTAAAACTGAAAATGTGCCTCTCTGTCAGCTCCAAAAATTTATAGAAATGATGACAACAAAAATAAGAGTGAGTAAAGTTTTATTGATTAGTATGTGCTACCCAGACTTGTCCCATTCAAGTCCCATCCACTAAGCAGTGCCGCCATGTTCTCTGAAAGATGAGTGTATGAATGCACATGTGTGTTGTGGGGAGGGTTTGTGCCTGCTTCATCACCTATGACCAATGCCTGCCCTTTCATCCTTTCCTTCCTACACACAGGGCAGAGTTTAAAAGCCTAGACAAATCTAAATGAAGCCTTAAAACCATTCACTCATTCATTCATTCACACACACTCACTCACTCACTCATGCATTCAAGAAGTGAATGCAATTCCACTGTGGCTGGAATGAAGTGAGAAACAGGATGAGCCTCCCACAGTGATGCTGGAGAAGGAGGCCCAGCTGGGGCGAGCAAGGCAGGGGCTGCTGTGGTCTGATCAGATGCAAGTCTGCACAACCACAAAGTGCATGCTCTCCTCCCCTATGCTACTGCCTCCGTGTGGTCACACTGTCCCTTTAAATTGGTTTGTACTCTGCACTCTCCTCTTCTACCTGGGTTCTCATGCAATCCTCACAACCGCATCTCCATTTTTGTTCATTTCCAGATACAAGTCATCCATTTTCCCAGGCAACATGGAAACGCTGACAATCCTGAACAATTCCCCAGTGCTCGTGGAGGCATACTTCTGCTTCCAGCATGATGTCAGAGCAAACACCTACTTCTTGGAGCCCACCACCATGACCCTGAAGCCTAACGAGAAGCAGGTACCATCCCATAGAAACAAGTCAACTGAGGCCAGGCCCTAATGGAAAAGCTGGAGCCTTGGCATCCTTAATCTAAATGTACTTACTGTTGACTCTTCCATTAGATGCTAACCGTGTGGGCCTACCCAACTGCAGTTGGCACCTTTGAAGACAGTATCGTCTGCTGCATCAAGGAGAACCCAGAGCCAGCCATCTTCAAACTAAGCTGCCAGGGGGTCCGCCCTGAACTGGAATTGGATCACAAGCAATTGCACTTTGACCGACTCTTGCTGCACAGGTAAGCATTCTGGGTGATTCAGGACTAGATAGGAATTTGGAGATCATTCACTTCTAAGGTGACCAATTCATCCTAGTTTGCTCAGGACTCTGCTGATTTTAACACTGAAATTCCTGCATCTTAGGGAATTTCTCAGCCTGTGTAAACCAGGAATGTTAGTAACCCTAATAATTCACAGGTTGCTAACCAGGGTGTAGAGGATGGACTTCATTAGGTTGAGGATTTCCCCTAAAGTCAAATGTCACTATGCGAGCCTATGTGCATTTCCCTCAGAAGAACTGATTCTCCAGATTCTCAATGGGATCCATTACCCTAAAAAGCTAAGGATCTTTGTTCTAAAACTGAAAATCATAAAACTAAATAAGTAAATAAAAAGGACCAGACTTACTAGTCAGATAGATACTGGTGGGCTCCCGTGACTGTAGGTCTTAGTCACCCTGCAGGACTGGAAATAAGCTCACCCCCATAGTTCAAGCTTCAGCCAAAAGATAGGTCCATGGGGAACAACACCATTAGGAAGGTATTCATATCCTTGGAATGATCACCCATTTGAGATCAGGAGGGTACCATTTACCCGAGCACAAAGTTCAGAAGCATTGGGAAAGAAGGAGGAAGGGACACAGGAAGCACGTGGAGGAAGTGGGATCAGGACTTCCACAAAGTGGGTCTGAATGGTTGACTGGAAAACTGATCCACTCTGTCAACCTTCACCCAATTCACAAAAGAATTCACAAAAGAATCTGTGTTCTAGAAATTAGTATGCAAACAAAAAAGGCTAGGCCCAAACTAGAATTTCACATTTATTGTATCGCTGTAAATAGAGAAGGTTTGTTTCTGAGGTCCTGGGTTAGAATTTTGGTAGGGCATGTATCTTTCATTCCTTGATTATCATCACCATACCCTGTTCCCTTGTAAATATTGATCAGTGCAGTGGGTTAAGTAATAGTTGAAGTTGCAAATGTGGGTTTTTTCTGACAGGCCACAGACATTTCCCTATCAGAGGTAAATATGGCTCTGAGGCATGGGTCTAAACAATAGCCTAAATCTTGCCAGTAACTCTGTGCGTTTGGGGCCATCAGTTAATCTCTCTCTACCTTGGAGAGAGGGAAGGGAGGGAGGTAAGTATTTTAAGCAAACAAACCCTCAGTAAAAATAAACTCTGGGACAACATCAAGCAGTCTAATGTACCAACATATTATCATATTTGTAATTGGTAATAGAATTGCATCAGTGTTAAATTTCCTGGGTTTAATAAATGTTCTTATGCTTAGGAAACACACACTAAACTATTAAAATGTAACGGAGCACAATAGCTCCAGTTTACTTTCAAATGGTTCAGAAAAACAAAATGGATATTTACAAGAAAGAAAGAATGTGAATTTGAATGCAAAGACATGAGGGCAAAACATAAACATTGGTGAATCTAGGAAAGAGGATAGAGGCATTCTTACAACTTTTCTCTAAGCTTAAAATTACATCATTATACCTTTGCTGCAAGCACACCTATGAATGTGGTGAAGCATGTTGTTGTTTGGTGTTGTGTCGTTTGTTCCGCCTCGTGGTGGTGTTTTGTATTTTTTCGAAGCAGTCGTTAGTAAGCTTGAACCACCAACCTTGTGGTTCAAACAGACTGCAGTCCAGAGCATTAACCCACAGCACCATGCATACAAGGGACATTGCCCTGAAGCAATGAGTTGCTGGACTTGGGGTCTCAGGACCATAGTGTCAGGGAACACCATGGTCATTTTGCATAGCATAATCCACAGAGAGGGACTCCTGATGTGGCACTGTAGCATCAGCGCAGAACTGATGTGGCGTCAATTCCAACTCATAGTGACCCTGCACAGGGTTTCTGAGGCTGTAAATCTTTACAGGAGCACAAAGCCTCGTCTTTCTCCCCCGGAACAGAAGGTAGTTTCGAGCTGCTGACCTTGCAGTTCGCAGCCCAATTCTTAACCACTATGCTACTAGAGCTCCTTAGGAGGGGAAAAATGAATAAATCATACAAATTAGCCCAGCCCCATAAGCTCAAAGATCTAAATGAAACAAGCAGAAAAGAAAAGCTAAGAAATTTTAAACACAGACAAAAGAAAAATTGTGATTTAAAAAACAGAAAACAGGTGTGCTGGACAAAACTTCTTTTGGTCTCTGCAGAAAAGAATCCAGGGTAATCAACCTCCGCAACATCACGCCCCTGTCCGTGGCCTGGAGGATCTCCAACCTGGAGCACCTAGGTGACGACTTCACTGTGTCCATGATGCAGGGGACTATCCCCCCCAAGTCTGAGTACGGCTTGCATGTGCACTTCCAGCCCTCCAAACCCATCACCATCAAGAAGGCGATTCGGCTGGAGGTGAGGCTCCACACATCCCAGCTATGGTCATCAAAATGCCTGCACACTGGGTTTCCTGGCGCACATGCAGAACACACACATACACTGAGCTAGCACTCCCTGATCCACACTCATGTCTGCTCTCCGTTTAATAGCTAATAGCCTCCTGCCCACAATAGCTTGCTCTGAACAAGACTATAACCTCCTCAAAGGCAGGGACCATGTCTGTATTGTTCAGAGCTGATTTCCCAGTGCCAAGTAAATTTCAGATGGGTGGATAGATGGATGAGTAGATTGATAGATGAGTAAATGATGTTACTAAACCTTAGTAAACACTAGATTCCTGATTTTATGCCCCTAAACCTGGTCACCCTGCAGACTTCCGTATCTCAGTAAACATCTTCACTTTCTACTCAGCTGCTCCCAACAAACACCTGCAAATCATCCTTGATCTCCCCACTTTTCCTCACTGCCTCCACTCCAACCAAGTCCTCAAATTCATGTCAGCTCTGCCTCCAAAATATATCTCCTTCCATCCACTTCTCTGTCTGCACTGCCACCACCCTCAGCCAGATCCTCAGCAGCCTGTCTCTCACCTGGACTTCTACAGAGGCCTCCTAACTAATCTCCCTCTTCTTGGACCCCACAAGTGTTCAGAAGGATCTTTAAAATGTCGGTCAGATCAGCTAACTCTTCTTCAGTAAGCAGTGTGCACAGCTCCCATTGCAATAAGAATAAAGTGCAGGGCATCACCTGCCTCTGAGGCCCGCCCACCTTTAGATCCACATCTCCCTTCACTCGCTGGTTTTCACCACGTTCTGGTCTGTTGGCTCTTCTCTCCCTAAGCCACTTGCTAGGAGTCCTGTCTCTGGGCCCAGTGGAGAGCTGGCTCCTGCTTTAGATTTAGAGGTTTCTGAACATCACAACTTCATCTGAGGCTTCCCTCATCACCTCATCTAGGGAGTCCTCAGTCGTGTGCAATCACTCTCCCGGTTTCTCATTCTTTAGAGTACCTATCCCTTTCTGACAAGGAGCTCTGGTATCTTAGTGGTTACGAATCCGGCTTCAAACCACAAGGTCAGCAGTTCAAAACTACCAGCTGTTCCGTGGGAGAAAGATGAGGCTTTCTGCTCCCGTAAAGATTTACAGCCTCAGAAACCCTGTACAGGGTTTCTGTGAGTCGGAACCGACTCCACAGCACATAACCACCACGACTGCCCCTTTCTGACATTAACCTGTTTCTTTACTTACTGTCTTAGTTCTCTAGTGCTGTGGTAACAGAAATACCACAGGCGGATGGCTTTAACGTAAACAAAGCTATTCTCTCACCAGTTTAGGAGGCTAGAAGTCAAATTCAGCGCATTAGCTCTAGGAGACGGCTTGCTCTCTCTACCAGCTCTGGAGGAAGGCCCTTGTCTCCTTTCAGCAGCTGTGGGCCAGGCTTCCCTTGAAAATCTCCGTGTGCCTTGGCATCAATCTTCTTCTTCTAGGAGGTTGTCAGCACAGGGACCCTGAGTCCAAGGATACCGTGCTCCAAGCTCCTCTTTCCTGCTTTCTGCTCACTTGTTTAATTTCTTGTCTCAAGAGATTGACTCAAGATACAACCTAGTCATGCAGTTTATACCCTACCTCATCAACATGTTGTTAAGTGCTGTCCAGTCGGTTCCAACTCATAGCAACCCTGTATAAGGTTTCTGAGGAGGGTCTGATTGGTTTGAACCTCCACCGTGTGATTCAAATCAACCTTGCAGTCCAGCGCTTAGCCTACAGTGCCACACTGCGCTTACTCCTGACTTATTAACATAACTGCCCTTACTCCTGACTTATTAGCATCCTAGAGGTTGGGATTTGCAGTATATAGGATAATTGCATCCGATCACAAAATGAAGGGCGTGACATAGTACTGAAAATCCTGGTCTACACAATTTGGTACAAATTTTGACAAACACTTATGTGGTCACTTATATGGACTCCAGTAGGACAAGACCCCACCTGGCTTGTTTGCCATCTATGTTGGTGCCCCGTGTTTGCTGTACCACATTATCATCATACTGGAAGGCTTAAAATAACACAAAGTGATCCTCTCCTGGTTCTGGAGGCCAGGAATCCAAAATCACGATATCCCCAGTGTTGCGCTATCTCTGAAGATCTGAAGGAGAGACCCTTCCTTGTCTCTTCCAGTTTCTGGTGGCTCCAGGCATTCCTTAGCTTTTGGCTAAACCAGTCTAGTCTCTGTGTCTGACTTCGCATGACTTTCACCTGTCTGTATCTTCTGTCTCTTACAAAGACGCTCATCACTGGATTTAGGTTCCTCCTGGATAAAGCAGGATGATCTCATCTTGAGGTCCTTAATTATATCTGCAAAGACTATTTTTCCTACTAAGATCACATTCACAGGCTCTGGGGGTTAGAATGGGCCACAAGGTCAGTTTGAACTGCAAGGTTGGCAGTTCAAATTCACCAGGTACTTCTCAGAAACCCTATTCAGGGTGGCTAAGTCAGAACCGACTCCTCGATGGAATATACAACAACCACCATTACAATTCAACTTACTACACCATCTTATCCACAGTGTCTAGTACAGACTTGCACTTAGTTGACAGTAGAATCTGTTAACAGACTGAACAATTGCCACTGATTTTTGAAGCTTGAATTGATTCTTCAGCATTCAAGGAATCATCCAAATGACTCTTTGAATATCTCCAAGGACAGAAAACGTACTACCAGTCAAAGTATCCTGATCTCTTTTTTTTTTTTCTAATAGATCTGACTTAATTAATTCTTCCTTGGGTTGAGTGTAGATATTCTCCCTGTAATTTACACTCACTAAATTTATTTGTACCTTTTTACACTAATCAATGGATCTAATTTCTCTTCCCTGCTACTTATGTCAACCTTTCAGATACTTGAAAGCCAGAGATAGATAGATTCATTCAATGTACAAATATGTTTGAAGTCCAGGAATGAACAATAGAATTTTTAGTACCAGTCCTGGCAGAGACTAAGTCTGTCACAATGGACCCAAGCAACATGACTGATGTCCCCAAAGTCTAGAGTCCTCTGGCAGGATCAGCTTCATGCTTTAAGTGGTAGGACATGGGATGTTCAGAGATTCACATGGTAGGGGACACGTGGCAGATGGCAAGCGGATACGTAGATCACCATGAAAGCTATTTACCTACACAAAAACATTCTTGTATTTTAACTATTGGTGTGGTATCCCTGTGTGTCCCAGATGAAAAAGTAGCTCTGCAAAAAACAGGCACTAAAAGTCTCCCCTCAGCCTCTCTTCTCGCCCCTAGCATATTCAAGGCTCCTCTGACCCAGGTTACAATCCATCAACATCTACACCAGATGCTTTCCGATCCCTTTGGCAAGCTTTCCAGTGAACTTGTTTCATTTTTTGATATAACTCTTCATTTCTACTTCCTACTTTCCTCAATTATAAATTTTACTCTTAACCTCCTCTACTCACCTTCCCCAGGGAGGGAAGCAAAGGAAGTCAAATGCTCAGGGCACTTGGTATTCACCAGAAGGAAGCTGATCATTCAGACTTTATGTTCTGTTGTTAAAAGATAAAGTTCAAGTCAGTTCAATTTGCTCTTTACTGGCAAACATTTGATGAGAGAAAAGGTGGAAACTCTGAACTTAAAATTGAGTTTGGAGATAACTGCAAATTTTCCCTTGCCACCCAAAACACAAGTGTAGGGAGTTGGTGACTTAGGGTCTCAACTTCAGGCTTCGGTCGGGAGGTAGGTGGTCTCCAGCAGATGTAGGAGTGCCATGCCCACTACCCAGCAGTCCTTTCCTGTGACAAACAGACCCTTTATCACCAGCTACTTCATCTCAAAAGTCAACAGTTGGTTGGCATTGGTCACTGACATCAGTTTAGATGGTCCCAGAGGATAGTGAGAGGGATTGCCCGCAGGAATGACAAGAGGAGACAGTGAGTACTTGGAGGCCATGGGTCTTGCTTTTACTGAAGAATTTTTCTCACTACGGCAGGTTTTAGATGCAGAAAATCTTGTTGGTGTTGTTCAGATTGAAAACATCCTGATCTTTGCAGAGTCCTACGACATTGCCCTGGACATCACCTTCCCCAAAGGTCTGTGGATCCCTCCCTTCTGCGTAGGTGACAACTAGCATGATGTCAGTACTGTGGTGTGGCAGGAAATGTGCTGCAAAGGATCATGCCAGCTCCCACATGATACGAGCCATGGGACTACAAATAATTTCTCCAACTGGAGACAGCAAGGAATGGTCATAAATCTAAAATCTCAGAGCTCTTCTCAGAGAGGTCATTGGAGAGCAGGCATCTCTCTCCCTGCCAGTATCGGTTTTCTATCACTGCCGTAACAAAATGTTGCCAACACAGTGCCATAAAACCACACACATTTATTATTACCTGACAGTTCTGGAGGTCGGAAGTCTGACAGAGATTTCCCTGGACCAAAATTAAGGTGTATGCAGGGCTGCACTCCTTGCTGGAGGCTCCACGGAGAATCCATTTCCTTGCTTCCACCACTTTCTAGAAGCCACCCCCATCCCTTGGATCACAGTCCTTTCCTCCATAGTCTCAAAACCAATCCAAGTCCTTTGCATCCTGCCATCCCTCTGGCTCTCCCTCTTCTGTTTTAAGGACCCTTGAAATTGTTTGGGTCCAACCCATTAATTCATGTTAATCTCCCTTCCTTAAGGTCAGCTGATCAGCTGTCTTAATTTAATTTACAACCTTAATTCCCCTTTGCCTTGTAAAGTAAAATATTCATACATTTCAAGGATTGGGACATGGATATGTTTGAGGTCACTTTTTCTGCTTACCTAACACCCACATTAGATTTCTCCTTTCATCCCTCCTTTCCTTGATAGGGCACCTTCTCAGCAAGGTTCTTCGTGTTAGAATGACATGTTTACTTATCTGTCATTGGTCTTATAGATAAGGCTACTTATTGCTGCATTGTTTATAGTAATGAAAAACTGATAATAACCTGAATGTCCAACAATAGTGAAATCATATTATAGGAGTCATATTTTAAATCATGTAGGATGGAATGTTAGGCAACCATTAAGATCACATTTATGAGGATTTTTTGATTATGTGGGAAATGCTTACGATATAATGCTAAGCAGAACCGTACAAGTGTATATGTAATATTCCAACTCTGTAAAACATATACTTTGTACGTAACTAGAAAGCATACTGGTAGAAATGTTTGCTGGTGGGAGACACGAGAGGACGGACGTTTGTCCTAAGATAGAAAGCCAGAGGGAAGCATTCTGTCCAACAGGGCGGAAGAGCCCCAATTCCTTGTCTGTCAAAACTCAATTGCAAGAGACTTGTTTAGCCACAGGGTTTTCAGAAAATGAATTCTTTGAAATTGTCCACTGCGGGTTTCCCACATAACCTTCAGTGATAGTGTACTGTTGTTCCCTGGCTTCTCGCTCCCATGCCCACCCATCCCTCTGCAGGAGCTGAAGGAGGCCTTGATTTTGGGGTTGTACGGGTCATGGAAGAGGTAAAGCAGCCCCTACAGCTGAAGAACCGTGGGAAATACGAGATCATATTCAGGTAAACGAAATCGCTTCAGACACGGGACTATGCGCGTCCACCTCATTAGTGAAAGGGGGTTGCCTGGGAGAGACAACAAATCAGTCAAGAAATTTGTAAAAACCATGTCTGCTTTTTGTGTTACTTGGCTTCAAACGATTGGAATTCTAACTGCAAGAGAGTCAAGATTCTCATGCTGTTCTTTACTCTGCCCCTTTTCAGGGAACTCTAGGGGTCCCTCCATGTACCTAGAACCTCAGAGAGGCTGTGATGGGAAAGAGATTGCCAGGATGAGGCTGGGAGAGGAGACAGACGGGTTGGGGCGTGCTGTGGGGAGAGACCTGGCCTCCGTCTCTCCTGTCCTCCTATTGACTCTTAACCTATTTTGTCAATTGCTCTTCTCCATAAGATTTCTTATAAGGAATAAGGAAGTGTCTTCCAGTATTTTTTGTTGTTGTAACATTTCAAGAACCAAATAGAACGTGGTAGGATAGAGATCTACTGTGTATGTCCCTGAAGATTAAAAACAAAACCACTAAACAAGGGTGGTTCCTCAAAAAAGAAAAGTGAGTGTGGGGAGGTCACTCAGATGGGTCACAGTGCCTTTGGTGGCTGTGAAAGCATTCATGCCTGGTCAGTTTCTACACAAGATCATCCTTCCCCAGAAGAATTCACCTTCTTGCAGTCTTGAGAGAGAATGTGTATTCATGGTAGTTTTATTTCAGCTAAAGGAATGCTGAAATCCCCCACCCCGCCACAACCTCAATAATGCCCATTAGTTAGAAGCAATGAAAATATGAATTTTCATAAATCAAAATAACATCCAACAAACCTCAAAGAGGGTTGCTGTCACTTTAGAGTGGATGTTAACGGAAACGGGTCCATTTGTGAGTTTTGTTTTGGACTATGACTAGGGTTGTAGTTCTGCTCTTTCAGGTCACATGAGCAACCCCCTCAGATCAGTTGTAAAGATTTGCAGGAAGCGACAAGGTGCTGTGTATGATGCAGTTGATGGTCAGGTCTCCTGGAGAGTGGGAATGTCATTTGGATCCCCACAATACCTGCAGGAGATTCTGATGGGGCGCTCTGCGTTCTCATGCCTCAGCTTCTCTCTGTGACCTCTCACCTTGTCCCATGGCTCCATGACCTTCCGTCCTAATGTCTCTGTTGTGTGGTTTCTCCTCCTGTTTTCTCACCTTGGATTGCGGCTTCACCATCACTGCCCACTCTGTGCACACTGCATTCAGACTTCTAGAGAGAGAGGCAAATTCATTTAGTTGGTCTTTATTCAGTATCAGGTGACCCTGTGGAGCAGAAATCTACTGCAAGGACACCTCTTCACCACAGACCAGCCTAGAGATGGCTGTTTGCCCCAAACACCACCAATCCCTGGCCCCTGCAATGCTGAGCAAGGTGGGGATGGTCACAGAACACAGCACAGTGGCTGCTGTCAGGCATAATGGTGCAACAGCTAGAGACATGATCGACAGCTAATGCTTTAATGTCTCAAGTATCTTGGGTCCCCTGGATAATGACTTAAATGGACTTTTATTCCTGTCCGCCAGCTTTTCTGTGGACTCATTAGGGATGACAGTGACCAATTTGAATTCCATGATCTCGGTCCAACCCAAGAAGGGCTCACTGACCACAATGGAAAAGCCCACAAATGTCCAGGTGTTATTTCGTGCCAGAAAGGAAGTCAAGATCGAACACCTGCCCATCCTGCGTTGTCATGTAAGAGCCCAAAGGAAAGGGCTAGATCGGTGGCAAGATTGGGGGGCTCCTGGCCAAAAGAAAGGAGCCCAGATGGTACAGTGGGTTACTTACACATTTGGGTTATGAACTGCAAGGTCAGTGGTCATCAGCCACTCTGCAGGAGAAAGATGAGCCTGTCTTCTCCCATAAACATTTACAGTCTAGGAAACACTAAGGAGTGGTTCTACTCTGTCCTGTTGGGTTGCCGTGAGTCCGAATCAACTCAACAACAGTGGGTTGGGTTGGGTTTCTCCAAAAGAAGGGTATGTGGTCTAGCCATACTTTGAGGGAGGGCTGACCATGGTGGCAGCTGGCTAGGACATACCAGGGTTTGATCTCAACTAACCTGGTGTTGCACTGTAGGATAAGCACTGGACTGCCAACCCCAAGGTCAATAGTTCAAACCCACCAGCCACTCCTTGGAAACATATACAGTCACTGTAAGTCAGAATTGACTCGAAGGCACTTAACAACAATAGCAGGTAAAAGTCAATCTGATGAGAGATGTTCAAAGTCATCAGAAATAGAGTCAGGGAGGAAAGGTGCCCTCCCGCACCCCCACCCAGGTATTTGGGGAGCACGAGAGTCGGGGAAGCTGAGTCCAGTCATCAAATGCAAAAGATGAATGGTGAACATAAAATGGAAGCTAGAGTTGGTTTATGTTGCTCCGTGGCTGGCACACAGTATGCTCTAAGTGTTTGCTATTATTATTGGTGATGCAATAATAGAAATAGAATGAAATACATCCATGATGAAACAGGGGAGGAAGTAGACAGGCATGGAAATTCTGGAGACGTGTTAGTGCCTAACATCTTCCCAATCTTTGTCCCCTTTCTAGATTATTGAACCTACTATTGCAGAAGGCGAGATCATTGCCAGCATCCCCATTAAGTTTTCCGTGAATGCAGTGTTCTCCAAGTACAACATCAGCCCTTCCTCCATCATCAACTTCGGGGCTTTGATTTGTGGCACTCGTAAAAGCTCCACATTCACCATAGAAAATCAGGGTGTCACTGACTTCAAGTACACCCTCTACAGGCTGACAGGAGAGAGCCCCATTCATCAGAAAAAACTGTAAGATGAGTGTTTTACTTAACTCCTCCTGCCTTTCTATATTAGCTAGTGCTTTACAGTTTACAAAGAGCATACACATATTTTATCTAAATTGATCCGATCCCCTTTTGTGGGTGATGTCAGTAAGATTTAGAGATCACTCATGCAAGATCATGTAGGAAATCACAGTAGATGATGGTTCTGGACTCACATCTTCTGATTCCAGATTTCATACATTTTCTAGTCACTGCAGAATATATGCAACATTTTAGTAAAACACATGTAAACACTTCTGCTCTGGACTGTATCTAAGTTCTGGTGCTTCAAGCAAGGCTCACTAATAAGTCATTGTCCTATCATTCTACACATGTCAAAAGACTATTAAACAATAAACAAGTGAAATCAAAGCGGCCAAAACTCTGCTTCCTGGTGGGGATGGAACAGGGTAGTCTGGGAACACGTGCTAGACATGGCATGTGATGCCTTTGCTTCTGCCTTCTACCCACAATTCATATAACATGTAATAGTCCCAGTATTACCACAGCCAATGTAATCACTGTTCTAACAGTGAGACTCGTTTCTACAGCTGACTCTCAATCCTTTCACCAAAAACAAATGACCATTTTGAGTACTTTGGCTTCCATTTGGCTTGTATATATGTGTGTGTGTGTGTGTGTGCATGCATGCATGTGTATTTATGTAAACACCCATGTAAGTGTAACATGTAATACGTTGATGTGGCTGTTAAGTACCATCAAGTCAGTTCCAACTCATAGCAACCTTATATAGTGTTTCAATGAGTGGCTAGTGGGGTAGTGGGGGTTTGAACCACTTGTGGTTAGCTGTCCATTGCTACACTAGGACTCATATAACATGTAATAGTCCCAGTGTGGCCCTGTAGGGTAAGCACTGGACCATAACATTGCTTTGAACCACAAGATCTGTGGTTCAAACCCACCAGCTTGTATGGCATCACTATGAGTCAGAACTGACTTGATGGAACTTAACAACAACATACATAAAATGTTTGTAATTTTTTTTTTATAAATTAGGGATTTTTTTTTTTTTTTTTTACCAATTTCCAAAATACTTCTGACTTAATTTTTACCAATTCATTTTTTATTCTCAGATACACAGCATTTTCTTGCAACTGTCTTATCTTCTTATGGATAGCCTTTTCTGTTTTGGCAAAGTTTGAGCATATTAAGAAATTTTTTGTTAAATTGTCTAAACTTTTTCTTTCTTGGAAATTTTATGTCAACATAATTTTTACTTGATGATATTTTCATGCCCACTTACAATGAATACAATCAATTTCACTGTGTTTTGTTTTGCTTTGCATTGTTTTTCATTTTCATTTTAGGATGCATAGACTCATGCATCTTTAGGTTGAAATTCCGGTGTTCTGGTCACTGAGCAAATGAATGCTTGAATATCTAAAAACTCTCAAAAGGTTAAGATGCAGTGCTCTCTAGGTGGCTAACGATCGGGTCACCTGGCTTTTAGTGACATGAGCAGTTACTAAAGTCTGTGTTTGAACTGTTGTGTATACCAAGCCCGAAGATATCTTGTCTGAAAATATAAACAAAAGGGACAGAAATTGCCATTTTATTCTTTTTAACAAAATCAGATAGAGGCTTGTTGTTGTTGTTAAGTGCTGTCCAGTCAGTTCCAACTGATAGTGACCCTGTATAGGGCTTCCAAAGAGCAAATGGTGAGCTTGAACCGCTGACATTGTAGTCCAGCACATTTACCCACAGTGCCACACCAGGATTCTGGATAGAAGATTATTTGTCTAAAATTAATTTTCCACATAATATTTCCCAGTGAACTCAAGTACTCTTTTAAAAATTCACATTTTTTTATAGTAAAGTTCAGTATCCTTGTGACTGACTTATATGTAGTGAATATAATCACTGCAAAGTTCTTCTATGCTTGTTAAATGATTTGGGATAATGAACAATTCAGTGGCTATGTTACCCCGCTACCATCTTAGGCAAAGAAAGGGTACTGGTAATAGACAAATAGGTGGAGTCTAATGTCACCACCCCAACCCAAGGTGTACTCTTTATTCTGTCATTAGAGCCAGTCACACTAAACACCCAAGATCCAGGGAAAGCGAGAGCTTCTACAAGACTGGCCCTTCCAAAGCTACCAAGTTCTCCGACACAATTTCAAAAGAAGTCAATATTTCAAACCAGGTGAGTGTGCGTGCGCATTGCTTTGTTTAGGACCAGCTAACTTTTACAACCCAAGACCTCTTTAGGAGATAGATAGCAGGGCTTGAATCTATTGTGACAGAAATATTGAGCCATTCTGTCACAATGTCATTTTCATTTTAAAAACAGGCAAGCCGACTTTTAATTTGGACAATTCCCTTGACTTTTAAAGCCTTGCGTGGCTTCCCATTGCCTTATGAGTAAGTGTAGACTTTTCATATGTATTTTAGTCAGGAATCACTTTTTTGTAAGAAACAGAAATCCATTCAAATTGACTTAAATAAAGAATATTTGAGGGCTTCTCCTTCTGGTAAGATGAAGTAGATAAACGTTTCTCTATTCCTCCTGTGAAGTCTAATTTAAAACGCTGAGCATTGTATATAAATAACCCTAAGTAGACACTGTGGAGAGAAGAAATCACACCAGCAAGGGTCTTCAGGACCCTGCGAGCATTATGGTGGTGAGTTCTCTGAGTTTTCTTTTTGCCTCATAGATCCCAGACTTGGAGCTGAGGAAGCTGGAAACCCCAAAACATCAACAAGCACAGGCAAAAACAAAACAACAACAAAAATCCCTAACAAAATCCAACTATCACTAGCCAAAAGGCCAGGAAAGGGACAGCCTAGTACAACAGAAACTTTTCGATAGTAATTGTTCTACTCCATCCAAACACCACAAGGAAAATCTGTGTCCCCACCCTCACTCTTGCTAGCAAAGGCCAAGTAGAGAGTCTAGACTCCTGGATGTAACGAGACCCCCAACCCCTGTTGAAGTGGTGTCAAAGAAGACCAAGTAGGGAGCCAGGTCTTCCATTCCCACAGGGTAACAATGAGCACCCCTGTCCCATTTAAATGTCAGTGGAGACCTATCACATGATGAGCCTGGACTTATACCCTTCATGATCATAGCTAGCCACCACTGGAATGGTATCAGAGGCCACCAGTCCCCTCTCCTCCTGCAGCATCGGTAGAGTAGTAACAAGGTCCTCTTCCTCCTCCCAGCCAAATAATAGGTATCAGTGGATTTCTAGTGGAGAACCAGAATGCTCACCCTGCCAGATAATAATCAGGACTCACAATGAGGTGGTGCCCCCCACTCCCTCTGACAGAGTAGTCTCAAAGAAAGCCAGCTCAAACAGAAGGTTTTACTAAAATTTTATGTCTCCTAAGACCTAAGACAAAGTCAAGAGATCAGACGACGTATTGCA